ACCTGTGGTCTGATCCAGTAAGGCCTTTCTTATGGCTTCCTAATAAATCATGCCTATACAATATACCAGAAAAGAAACCTTTGTAAGTTTTAGCCTAAGGGAATGCTCTATCCAGCTTAAAATTTTATGGAAGGTAAGCAGCTCCACTTCCTATTTAATTTTTGTGCAAAAAAAAAAAGGGTTAATTCCAGGAGAGAGTCTATGGCTGTGAATAAGGATCTATCTATAATTAAAATGTTATACAGGCAGTCCCCGACTTACGCGGATCCGACTTATGTCGGATCCGCACTTACGAACGGGGCTTTCTCGCCCCGGAAGTCGGGGCGAGAAAGCCCCGTTCGTAAGCTGTTCCGGTGCCCCTGGTCTGCTGGAGACCGTCTCCAGCAGACCAGGGGCACTGGGCGGGTTCCCGCGCTTCTGAGGCTTTGCCAGAGCAAAGCCTCAGAAGCGCAGGAACCGCTGCTGCTGCCGCTTGAGAACCCGTGCCCGTGTGTGAGCACATGACCAGAGCTTCTCTGAGCTGCCATTTCCCCAGCCAGAGGGAGTAGGGGATGACATCAGAATGAAGAACCACTTCCTCTCCCCTGCTAGGCAGAGCCCGTGGGCCCGATGCAGCCTGTAACTTGCATTGATCCAGCCTGTTACGCTTGGGATTCCGGACTCCATAGCAGGACAAGCCAGCTCTGGCTTGCTCTGTTGTGGGAAGAGAGAGCCCAAGCCTCGTGGGCCGGATCAAGACATGCCGCATGCTGGGCCATAGGTCCCCATCCCTTTAACTAGATACAAATTTAATCACTAGCAGAACTTAAAATTATCGATAAGGTGAACTGATTTCGAAAGAACATGGTTTTCAAAGAAGAATAAATAAATTAAAACTAAATAAATATTTAGCTACCAGATTGCAGAAAATATCTCAAAAGTAAGTGACATGTTATTGCATATACAGGCAGTCCCCGACTTACGCGGATCCGACTTACGTCGGATCCGCACTTACGAACGGGGCTTTCTCGCTGCTCCGGTGCCAGCAGAGTTGCTCTGCCCCGGGCTTCCTGGAATCAGCTGCTGATCAGTTTCAGCAGCAGCTGACTTGGGGACGCCTGGGGTTCTTAAGTTGATTCTGTATGTAAGTCAGAACTGGCGGTCAGTTTCAGCAGTGTCTGAATCTGGACGCCAGTTCCGACTTACATACAGATTCAACTTAAGAACAAACCTACAGTCCCTATCTTGTACGTAACCCGGGGACTGCCTGTACTACATACGTCAGGGGTCAGAAACCTATGGCACATGTGCCATAAAGGGTACACAAGCCAATTTTGAGCAGCACACAGTGAGATCTGGCCCCTCTCTTTCCCCACACAGCGGGAAACCCACACTGCCACTGAAGCCCTCTCCCTTCCCCGGCAGTAGGTTAGGCTGCACTGTACCCCAGCAGTAGGAGGCAGCACTGGGGCTGAGGCAGCAGCTCCTCAGGGGCCAACCCGGGACCACATGGCCATGGCATTGGCGCCTCCAGCCTCAGCCCGAAATTGTGTGGCTGTGACAGTAGGACTGCCTGGCTACAGCATCGGCTCCTCCAGTGGCTGGGGCCACTGAACAAAACAGCTGGGAAGTCACCACATGGCTCTGGCTCCAGCTTCAGCCCTGTGGAAGGGCTGGAATTGGGTTAGCGCCATGTGGTAGCTGCTCCTGGGACAGGCCACAAGGTGACTGCTGGGGCTGAGGTAGCATGGGAGTGGCTCCATGGAACTGCCTGCCCAGAGGCAGCAATGTGGGGCTGGAGGGGGCAGGCTCTCTGCAGACAGAAGCTGCTTTGTGGGATGCCAACATAGCCTCTATCTGTGGGGAGCTTGGGCCCCAGCAGATAGGGGCTGATTCTGCCCCATGCTGCTCCCTCTGTATCAGGTGCAGCAGCAGCAGCGGATTTAGGGCAGGGCGAGTGGGACAGCTGCCCCAGGCCCCATGCTTCCCAAGGCCCTGCGCATGAGCCGTGTCAAAGTAGGGGCCCTGCGAAATTTTGCTGCCCGGGGCCCCGTGGCGCTGCCCTGCGGCGCTGCCCTGGGCCCCGCGGCACTCTCATCCGCCCCTGTGCAGTAGTGCAGTGTGCTCCCTGTGAAGGGGGCCAGGAGCACAATGGCTGTCAGCTCTGACCCCAGGGACTGACCCCAGGGACTACTGAATAATTGTGTAACTGCAACATTTTGATACAGTTACACAATTATTCAATATCTAACATCCCTACTATATATGTGTATGCCCACATCTTAAGTACAGGCAAATGTGGTCGCCTCATCTGAAAAGAGATACCTTGGCATTTGAAAAATTTCAGAAAAAAGGCAACAAAAATTGTTAGAGATTTGGAACTGATACCATATGAGCAGAGATTTAAAAACTGGTATTTTTCAGCTTAGAAAAGAGGAGACTAACTGGGGATATGATAGAGGTCTATAAAATCATGACTGGTAAGGAGAAAGTAAATGAGGAAAAGTTACTGTTCCCATAACACAAGAACTAAGAGTCACCAAATGAAATTAACAGGTAGCAGGTTTAAAACAAATAAAGGAAGTATTTCCTTCACACAATGCACAGCCAACCTGTGAAACTCCTTGCCAGAGGATATTGTGAAGACCAGGACTTTAACAGGGTTAAACAAAATCCTAAATAAATTCATGGAGATTAAGTCCATCAATGGCTATTAGCCAGGATGGGTAACAATGATGTCCCTAACCTCTGATTGTCAGAGGCTAGGAATGAGTGACAGGGGAGGGATCACTTGATGATTACCTGTTCTGTTCATTCTTTGGGGGGCACCTGGTATTGGCCATTGTTGGAGGGCAGGATATTGGCTAGCTAGATGGACCTTTGATATTACCTAGTATGGCATTCTTATTCAGAACAAAAATGCCTTTCAAACAAACACAATGTTCATAGTAATATCAAATTCTCCATTACCAATACTTTAGTGAAGCAAATGCAACTTCACACTTCCTTACAAAAATTAGCAAAATCAGTTGCATTAGCAATGACATCAAGTGTTTTTAAATATCCAAGCTGATAAAGCCAACAAGAGCAAAGGAATTACACAGTTAAACACTATGTTTTCCTGCTTTAAATTTCCTTGACTTTGCTGGGTTTTAATGGTAAGGTTGAAAACAAAGATTTGCATTATTTATACAAGGCACTGTTTATCCAGTGTAAGCATGTACACTTCATGGCACATGTTTATGAATTAATTCCTTACTATTCCTCCATATTTGTCTATTTATTGATTCAAACTGATTTTCTACAAGAACATCAAGAGTTAAAAAGCCCTGGGAAATTATTAGTGAAAGCAGTTACAAGGCAGTGGAATTTTACATGCTGTACCTTGGTTTTTTCAAAGGATCAACTACCTCTTCTTCTCCCCCCACCTCGATATGCTTTATGTACTAAATCACTTCAAACTTATTTTTAAAATAAGGAGTGAGCTCTAGTTTCAAGCCGGAGCGATTTAAAAATTCAAAGCTCCCCCAACTCTCAAAACACCCAGATTCTGCAGGCGAGGCGGGGTGGGGGGAGAGAATGTATCTGAACCTGACACGCCAGCAGATGCCTCTTCACTCCTAGTGCGACTTGCACGGTGCCGTGGCCGCCTCCTGTTCCTGGACCGCGCAGGTTAGGTGGGTATTTTATTTGACGAGAGGAGTGTGTTATATAGTATCATCCTCCTTACAACAAGTAGCCAATCCTGCACCGGCTTTAGCCCTACAACGGCAGCCACCCAAACCTCTTCTCCCCAAAACCCACCCACCTCTTCCTGCGGTCTCCGAGGGGGACGGGCAGCGACAGGAGGCTGCGGGCAGACCACTGAGCGCATAATGGGGCCGAGAACCATAATGGGCCGAAAACCACAGAGCAGGGAGAGGTGGCGAGCAGCTTGACAGAGGCAGGGAGTGACACAGGTGAGGGGGGAGAGCCGGGGTGTTGCGGGGAGGAGACAGCGCTGTGGGGCACAGAGCTCTGGAGAAAGGATTACGGGAGAGGGGGCGACACCCTTGGGGGGACGTGGCCGAGACGACACAAGCAGTCGGGAGGAGGGGGCACACAGGCCAGGCAGGCACTCAACCCCCACCGGTGCGGGAGAGGGGCACACGGGCCAGGCAAGCAGACACCCCCCCAGTGTGAGGGGGGGCACACGGGCCAGGCAAGCAGACACCCCCCCAGTGTGAGGGGGGGCACACGGGCCAGGCAAGCAGACAGGGGACGTGGCCGAGACGACACAAGCAGTCGGGAGGAGGGGGCACACAGGCCAGGCAGGCACTCAACCCCCACCGGTGCGGGAGAGGGGCACACGGGCCAGGCAAGCAGACACCCCCCCAGTGTGAGGGGGGGCACACGGGCCAGGCAAGCAGACACCCCCCCAGTGTGAGGGGGGGCACACGGGCCAGGCAAGCAGACAGCCCCCCAGTGGGAGGGGGGGCACACGGGCCAGGCAAGCAGAAAGCCCCCCAGTGCGAGGGGGGGCGAACGGGCCCAG